CCAAATAATTTAAGGTAGATAACCTTGATTTATTAAATGACGAAATTAAAACGAAGGGTTAAAATGAAAATTAGAATGCATTAAGAGTTAAATTCAGCAACGCGCTGCCCAACTATCAAACTTAGTTGGACTATTTATCGAATACATAATTTTATGAAAATTTTAAAGTATTTTGTAAACTCATTCAAGTGCAACATAGTAAATTTTCAGAATTTTCTAAGATCATTTAAGCACTCTAATAGACACTCAAACATGTGAAAAAAATTGTTCTTGGGAATATTGAACATAACACACGAAAAATGGCACAACTTATTCTACCGACCTTCGATTGACTTGATTCCAAAGCCAACTGACAGAGGACTTACAAAAAGAATTCAATCCGAATAACGTGATAAAATTCAGACAATAAGCTGAAAGTTTTTGTTTACAAGTCTAACATTTAGTCTTAATTTCTTTGCTCTAATTAATACTTCAACCCAATAACAATTAAAATGTTCATATAAAGAAAAAGAACTAGGAGATCTTGAAAAGGATAAACTAACATCTTTTAGAATATAAACATAAGTTATATAACCAGTAAGAAATAGAAACTCTTCAAATGTAATTAATTTCACAAATGAAACACTTTTCTCCCTTCGGATCATTCGCAATCCACATAAATCCCACTTCCTTGACCAATTATTTAATTTGAAAAATTTGTAAACATAGGAGGTGTGAACTTTAAACTTAGTAGGACTAATATCACATGGTGCACTCTTTTTGATATATATATATATATATACACACACACACACACACACACACACACACACGTAAATGAATATCGATAAATTCATGATTCCAAAGAGCCCCCAAGGGTCGTAGAAATCGATTATGACCATACATAAATTTATGTATTCATAGCTTCAAATATTTTAAAACACATGAACAAAAAAAAGTAAGGAAAGTGCTATGTGTACACAAAGCCTTACACCCTCTTCACATGGAGGGACTCACATACAATAAAATATTCGTGGACCTCTCTCCATGCAAGGTAGGGATGACAATGGGTCGAATCGAGCCGACTCGACCCTTTAAACCACGAGCTCGGCTTGGGCTCGTGGCGAGCTGAGCTCGAGCTCGACTCGTTGCTCGTGGACGAGCTCGGCTCGGCCTACGAGCCACTCGCGAGCTCATGTTTTTTTTTTTTTTTTTTTTTTCCTTTTTTTTTTTTTTTAATTTTTTTAATTTCAACCACATTCTTTCTCAAAAAATAATTTTAGACATAGACCTAAAACATTTTTTTTAATCACATATTTTCCAAAAAATCATTATTTCAAAATTCAATTTTCCAAGGAAAAAAGGCTCTCAAATTAAAATATCGATGTTGGAATTTGGTCACTCGACATTTGAGTTTTTGGACGGATCGAATAGCTTGTTAGAGCATTGTGACCTCTGATTATATTGAACCATTTAATATAAAAACTCAACTTTTTGAGTATTTTAATATTTATATTATTTAAACATTGTCTTCAACATATTGAACATTTGATTTTAACACTTAAGTTATTAGATAGACTCGTACGCGTATCATTAAAATATTTCAACATGCTATTTCACGTATAGTCTTGATTCATATTTCCCAACAAAATTTAAAACTTGAGCTGTTCAATAAATGGGAGGTTTGAACCAATGCATTTTTTATTTTATTTTTTTACTTTAATTTAATTTTAGAACTTGATGATCCAACTTAAAATGTCAAAATTATTTAAAGGTATAATACAAACTTTTATATATTAGTATCTTTTATCTAACTGACTTAGAATTTACCATTAACAAATTGTTTGAATACTCCATGCAAATTCATAATTTCAAAATGCACTTCTTGAAAAACCAAAACTTTTTTGAAGAAATCATATGATTCACAATTTTTATCAATTTTTTAACTATAAATTTCATCAATTTTTTTTTTTTATCAAATTTGCTAAAAATTTTATTTTTAACTAAACCAAACATAAGCTTAGTTCCATTGCTCTCTCTTTTCCCTCACTTGTCGAGACTTAAGATTGGTGGAAAGGTTTTTATTTTTATTTTTTTTTTTCTCAAGTAAAAACGTCATCCATTTGGTCATGGTTTTAAGCACACGAAACTTACTATTGAATAAGGACTTTGTTTAATAATAATAATAATAATAATAATAATACTATTAGAAAATCTCATCTAAGAATATAGATTTATTATTAATAAAATAAGGAAGATTTGATTTTTTCTACCAAATTCATACATAGTTCCATTTATAAATTACAATTCAATATGGGTGTCTATATAACAGGACAAGGTTCCATCGTACTAAGAGAAAATGACTAGTTCCCACGAGCATGGCACACTGGTAAAGCAAGAATATTCTCTACGTAGCATCCTCCGACAACCCACACCGGTACCCTTTTTTTGGGCAATGATCTGTGACCAATTTCATTAGATCTGTGACTTGTGACCAGTTCTACTAAATCGTGATCTAATCATGTGGGATGAATATGAATATAATCAATTTCAAAATTAAGAAATAAAGTTTGAAATTTTAAAATCTGATAAGATTCAAATTTTATTTATGAAATAATTAATCAAAATTATTTTTCTAATTAAATATATTAAAATCACAAATCTTTACAATTTGGTCACAAATTATTGAATTAATTGGTTACAAATTATCTTTGATCACAAATATAAAAATTTATAGATTACATATAAAATTTGACTTTTGACCTGTGAATACCCGTGACACATAACATAAGATGTGATCCGTAAGTCTAGAAAACGTGACATATGACCTATTAATATTGTTCCGTGACTCGTTTATATTGATTGTGACTATACAAAATGACAGTGAGTCTTGAACTCAAACTTATGACCAGTGAACTGTGATCTTAAGGATCGCTTCGTTGTACATTTTCTTTTTGTTTTTTTAACAAGTGAAATGAAATATGATTTTTGACCTGAATGATTACTTGTGACTCGTAACATAAAATGTGACCTATAAATTTGATTCTTGACTCTACAAAAGATGACATGTTACCTGTTAATATTAATCTGTGACTCGTTTATATTGATTTGTGACCTATACAAAATGACAGCGACTTGTCAACTGAAACTTGTGACTGGTGAATTGTGACCTTAACAACGAATTGTGATCTGTAACCAAGTCACGTACAGTCACAGTTAACACAATCATGATCAAGACAGTCACACAACAATAAAAAAATACCACCATCACATAATCGGCGTCAGCGCCAGACTAGTACAACCACCAACATCAACAATGAAAAAATGACCATCACCACACAACCACAACTACCAACAACAAAAAATTGACCAACACACCATCACTTGCACCACACCATCATATACAGGGAAAAAAACTGCCTCTGCTGCCTGCAATACAATAAAATACAACCACGACCATCGCCGCCTATACCAAACCACCAACAAAACCCACCACCGCCACCTATTCCACACCACCACCGAAAAAAACCAACAACCAGCACCACTACAACCTTAGATGCATCATCACCGCCACCACCTGCAAGGTAACACCTATCCTACAACCACCACCTCTAGTCCTCCATCGACTACCATCATCACCAACACCGATAAATTAATCTACAGCAATCGAAAAACCCACATCACCAGCAAATAGAGGAAAAAAAATGTATGAAGAAAGAAATAAAAAACCAGATCTGAAAATGCATTACGAGAACATTTGAAGGAAGTTATTGGCATATGCCATTGGCTTGACATCAGAGTGTGGCTACAGTGTATCAATAAACTTCAGTCTCAAAATGACAATCGAAATCTAAATCCTGACCACTAGAAAAAAGAGATGTGATATGAAGGGGACAAAAGCCAAAGCTGGTACACTAACCATTGCTGCAAAAGTGACGATAATTGGCTTCAGATTAGGGGTTTCAAAATGAATAAATGCACCTTTATTTCCCATCTGCACCGAGTAAAGACCACCTCACCGCTGGAAAGAAAACTACTCGCCCCCACCGCCGGACACAGAGGAGTCACCGTCAGACAGTGAGAGAGAAAAATAAATTGGGTGTAGAGTGTGGGAGTTAGGGTTGGGTAGGTTGAATTAGTGCGAATTAATTTATTAATTTCTAATTACCACATGAATTATGAAATTAAACTTAATCCCCTTTATTCATGAAAATTGATTTTTAAACTTAGGTTTCTAGGTAATTTTCCCTTTCACAGCTCGTTTCTTAAATTAGCGATATCGACCAACTTAAAATATAAAATTCGGGGCCTTATGAAATATCTAAATCTTCAAACACAAATCCAAATAAACTTATTTCAAAATTATTCCAAAGTTGGAAAAATGTGACACCAAAATATCTTGATTTTTTTCAAGCTGACTATCTAGAATTAGGGCATTTTGATGCAATGTTCTAAACATATCCATATATTATTAAGCCCCTGTTTGAGCCCCATTTTTACTTCATTAAAATGAAAAATACGACCGTTATTCATCACATCAAACCATCATTTTTGAATTTCTTTCTCTGGTGTGGGGCCCATAACGACTCTATTTCTCATTCTCATTCTCATTATAATGTGGTTCAAACGGGCTCTAAGTAAAAAAAAGTGATTCCATCGATTTTCATATCAAATCACGAACTAACATGCAATTACCATGGTGAAAAGTGTGAGAATTTCTTTTCACATACCAAAAATGGATTTATAAAAATTAATTTTCTTATCTAGAGGATAATTAAGTTCTTCAAATATTGAACCCCGCCGACCCACGCGCGGCCAAAAAAAAAATGAAAGAAGGAAAGAAAGAAAGGAAAAAAAGGATAAAAAATACAAGGAACCTTCACACGAAGCCACCCATAATGACATGTTTTTTGTACATTAATGTAAAATATTCAAGAATATGGACCAACCCAAACCCCAAAAACCCCCACCACCCAACACGCCCCACCAACCCCGCACCCTTTCGGTCTATATATACACCAATGACCCCCACAGCACAATTCCTCTGTCTCCTCCAGTTCATTCCTGTATCCTTCTCTCACCTCCCTTTACATCATTTACCCAGCTCACAATTAATACAGAGAGAGAAAGAGAAAGAGAGGAGAGGGAAGGCGATTGTGAATTTTTTAAGGAAACCCTAAAAAATCAAGTAATTTTTACATCCGGGGGGTTGTAAGTCGATTTCAATGTCGGATACATACTGCTCGGACTGCAAGAGGAATACAGAGGTGGTATCCGATCACTCCGCAGGGGATACTGTGTGTTCGGAGTGTGGTCTTGTTTTGGAGTCTCGTTCCATCGATGAGAGATCTGAGTGGAGGATCTTCGCCGATGATTCGGGCGATCATGACCCAAACCGTGTTGGAGGACCTGTAAACCCGCTCCTTGCTGATGCCGCACTATCGACCGTGATATCGCGAGGACCTAATGGGTCTAATGGGGATGGATCCCTCTCTCGGTTGCAGAATCGTGGTGGTGATCCTGAGCGGGCCATTGTCATGGCCTTTAAGGCCATTTCGAATATGGCTGATAGGTCTGTATTTGATATTGATTATTTGGTTTGGATTTTTGCGGGTTGTGGAGGGTTTAACTTAAAACCTTTAGAATGGTACTGATGGGTTTTCAACAAATTAATCTAAAAAGTGTTGACAAAATTAGGATAAAGAAGAAAAGATTCAACTTGGGGTTTTTGTTGGAAAGGTGGCTTTAAAGCTAAAATCTTGAGGCCTAGAAAAAAAGAGGACAAATTTGAATGTTTTGATGATTCTGATTGAGATTTAGGGTGGTAGAGCTGTGCCACTGATTGGAATTGTATTAGCCTGATTGATAAATGATTCAGCAAAAAAGATGAAATATTTTTAGAGTAATTAGTTTCTTGTTTGAAATGCATGTTTTTATACTTCATATGGATTGTGAATATGAATTCATGGTTTTAGCCGAGAATGCATTTGCTAATTATACTTGTCAAGCTTGAATTTCAGTTCTTGTGAAGTTTCGAATTGGTTATGTGTATTTGACCAAGACATTAGTGATCAATGTCATATAATGTTTTGAATATCATGTACTTCTATAGTTTGTTTTGTCATTTTGTTATTTGTCATACTGTCATTTTTCTTTGGACTGTCATCATAGCTATCAAGAGTCCGAAGATTTTCAACTGTTTATGATTTTTATTTATGATGTTTGTTTTTGGGGCAAAAATTCATCGGCAATCAGAATGTGTATGTTTAGATTAAATTGGACAAAAATAGGTAGATTTTTAGGCGATCAACTTGAAAGTTTTTGGGTGGTGTAATGTATGAAAAGAGGCAAACCATTGCGCAGTGTTTGTGTAGTAGTTAATCTATTTGCAGTTTCCTTTTCTTCTTTTAAGACTGATTGATAGGAATATCAATGATCATAGCTAATGTTTTCACCCATCCTTTCCAGGTTGAGTCTTGTTGCAACTATTAAGGTATGCCTCTTATTCATCTGTCTTTTGACAAAAAAATGTGTGATGAGACGAATAATCCAATGTATTCTAGTAACATTTGTTTCTCATTTCTCAATGTGCCTAGATTACTGTTTCTACTCACACTCATACTGTAGGCTATTTCATTTCCTCTTCTGTTTCCTCTTTTTGTGTTCGGAAAGAAATTTAGTTATCACATGGAGACAGCTTACAGGGGGTGTCATATATTCTGTATGGGTTTTGATATCAGGTGTAGCTATGCCACCATTATATTACTTGTTTCTTTAATTTGAAACCTACAATTATCTAAACATTCAACCAGACTTGGTGCCCTAAACTTTTGAGTTCCTAAAACCTCCTATATTTATCATGCCACTATTTATTTTTTTAAAATTTTTCCCCCTTCTGGGATGAAGTTATTATGTTAACTAAAGATTCAAGTACTTATATCATCAATGTCTCTTCTATTCATAACATGCAATTAGAGCAGAAATCTTTATTTAATTTTAATATAATGAAGCAAATTTCCTGCTGCTGTCACTCTGTTTAGACTTTAGAAGTGACTATTTTTAAAATTTTACATCTTAACATGTCTTCCATTTTGTCATATTTCCAAGTCTCACATTAGATGCTAACCTCTTTTGAAGGACCGGGCGAGTGAAATATATAAGAGGTTGGAGGATCAGAAGTGTACAAGAGGGAGAAATTTGGATGCCATAGTGGCTGCCTGCATTTACATTGCTTGCCGGCAAGAAGGCAAACCCCGCACTGTAAAAGGTGCTACCAATAGTCATTTGCACGTTTGGATATTTATTTTGATTAATCTTATCCTCTTTTTGCTGTGGTTATCAAATAGAAATTTGCTCTATTGCAAATGGAGCAACAAAGAAAGAAATTGGCAGAGCGAAAGAATTTATTGTGAAACAATTGAAGGTTGAGATGGGTGAATCTATGGAAATGGGTACCATACACGCTGGGGATTATCTGGTGAGTTAGTTGTGATTATAACGTGGCTTGACAAAAGATGCTTTATTAGATCTTTCATATCACTTCCAAGTCTCTCCTAGATCTGTGTATAGTAGCGAGTCCTCGCTATCCATGCAATTAATCTCATTCATCATCTTATTATTATTATTTTTTTTTTTGATCAGAGACGTTTTTGTTCTAATCTTGGCATGAGCCATGAAGAAATCAAAGCTGTCCAAGAAACTGTCAAGAAGTCAGGGGACTTTGATATAAGGTACTGTGATATATTTATCTGCCATCTCACGTTGGTTTGATTGAAACTTTTTTTTTCATAACGTTCTATCATGTAACAGTACTTTAACTTTGCCGGCACGCATTAGTTAATGAAATATGAATTTCTCAGTTTCTGTGCTTGAAAATATTTGACACAGATGTCTATGTTGAAAGTTTCTAGCATTTTCCGAGCCATAAGATATCTTTTCTACTTGGCATTAATTATAAGATTATGAATTTTGGTGGCTTTCATTGGCAAAATGTATTGAATCTGGAAGGTTGTAAATTGGAAAAATAAAGTGAGTGAGACTGAAAATGTGTATTGGAGAGGCCAGAATGATCAGGATGTGGGGTGTGCTCATTTATCTTAGAAAAAGGATGAAATTTTCAGTGTATCTAAAGTGAAGGAAGAATAAAAGGTTTGTGTAGTTCTAGAAGCGGTCTTTCATTTTTCTGCAGTATGTTAGTTCTCTGACAAATTTTCTCTGGAATACAAATTATATTATATTTGCACAAATAGTAACTGGGAAAGGTAGAAGAACTGGGTAGGGGAGATAGAAAGATTTACTCTAAGCATGTTTATCAAAGCAAAGAAGTTACTTTAGCGACTCTCTTTTTCTTTGAGGTGGGGGAGTAGAGGGGAGGGAGGTACCAATTCTTGAACCCTTGACCTCTTTATCGTTAACCGACTCAGACCAGGTGAATTGGTTTTTAGCAACTCTTTTACTAAACATGTTTTGAGTTTTTTTAGTAGTTACCTTTTTTTGTTCGAAAATTCTCTTTTTGGCCGTGTCTGATGAATTTTGATGAATTTTCATTTTGCTGATGATTATTCAATGTGAAGTTGAAATTATTCAGCATCTAAACCATACTAGTAGAATGATAATCTAATTGTGATGGCAATCATCATCTTCATTTGCAAGTGAAACACCTACTTGTTGATAATTCAGAACATGTGCTTTACCTGCCTGGGGTCCTGATTATGAATAGACCTGGAAAACAGAGGCAAATTTCACTTTCGAAGAGTGGTTTTTTGGTCAATAGAATCCAGGAAATACATTTCTTTACTGTCTTATCGAATGTTGCACGGTTGTGGTTTGCCTTGTGTTCACATTTCTTGTTATTGTTTTCTCGCAGGAGGAGCCCCATATCCATTGCTGCAGCAATTATTTTCATGATAACTCAACTGTCAGATTCGAAGAAAGCCCTGCGAGGTTTGAGCATTCACCATCTGTGTGCTTGGGTGTTTGCAGTGGATTTTTAGGATAAATTTCCGTTTCTCTATGTCATGTGCATGTGTACTTGATTGAAATGGCGTGCATGCAGATATTTCAATCGCTACCACAGTTGCAGAAGGGACTATCAAGAATGCATACAAGGATCTGTATCCGCACGCTGCAAAAATAATACCAGACTGGTATGCGAAGGAAAGGGATCTCAAGAATCTCTCTAGTCCTAAAGCCTAAACGAAAGAAAGTAATAGTGAGGGGTCGGATCTGGATCAAGCCATCAGCAGTTCTTATGGCGAGGAGGAGACATACACAGATACGATACAGGATTTCTGCAATTTCTTTTTCTTTAAAAGCAGATAGTAATGAACGAGCAATTTTGGAATTTGCTTGAACTATTTATTTGATGGTTTCAATGTCCCTTTGACAGCTAAAAGCTTATTTTTCATTGAGGTAAGCTTTTTTATTTTTTCGGGGAGTCTTTATATATGTGTGTATATATGGATGTGGAAACTCTTATTCTGCTTGAGAACTCATTTTACAACCTGCAGTGTGTGAACAATGTGACCTGCAACATGTATGGTTGTGGTTACTTATTTTGTCAAATATGATTTTAAAAGTTATTTTTGTTGGAATTTGGTTTTAAATTGAAAATTTTGGTTGGGTATTAAATATGGAAAGTGACTTTGTGTCAACTTCCATCAAATGTTTGGACTTGATTCGATAGTTAAATTATAAATGTAAATAGACTAACTTGTTCTCTTCGTTGAATAGATTGTCGTGGCATATTTGAAATCTCTAAATCAATTCCGAATGAACAAGTAATTGCGATTCAAACTTGGAAATTAGAGTAGAAAAATTGGCTGGGAAATTTACCTAACTTCATTGCTCGCCTTGAGCTCGAGCGATAGGCCAGCGAAATTTTTTTGTTGAAAATATGTTGGCGTTTAATTGAGATGTTAGCGATAGTAAGGGATGCTTCTCTTCGTAAGATTGTGAAGTTTGGGGCGTGTTATTTCACTCTCAACCTTTCCTCTCTTATAAATAGGATCATTTGGACGTTCATTATGCATTTTTCTTGTAGAGAGAAGTATTTCGTTTGAATTCAATGTTGCTTGTGGTTTGAAATGCTTCTACAAATTGAGTTTCATTATATCTTGTAAGACAAGTGTCATAATCCATTAGCTTCGTTGCGGGGCAATTTTGTCCTAAGGAAAAGTGTCAATCACTGGCGTAGAATTTATTTTCTTAATATTTTCATTCTTCTTCTTCCTTTTCATTTCTAATCTTCATCGTGTTTAATTACGTTCATACGAATTAAACTTAACCAATTTTCTACATCTTGACAAACAATCATTTCCCTACTAATATCACCAACATTTTTTCTTGATCACACTTACTTTTATATAATCATCGGATTCAAAGATACTTATAATCATCGGATCCAATGCTTGAAAAATGGAGAGAGTGAAACAAGAAAAACCTTCAAATATAAGATAAATTCAGCAAAGAACTTCTAGTTGACGAGCACGTCTGTCATTGCCATAACCAATCTTTATGTTGGATTTTGTGGAACATAATGATATTGTACATTTATGTCCCCAACCATGGATTTGACATACTTCACCGAGAGCAAATGATTGAGAGGCTCTGCAAAAGCCCATGGCAAATTTAGATTTACTTTGAATTTGGAGCATATTGGGTATTGCGGACATATATTTGATTTCTATAATTTCTATATATGTAAGGGATTTTAGTGGTCGCTTTTGGTATGAGGTGTGAGAAATTCTTGAAATTTCTTTTTATTAATACTCTCGAGCTATGTTAATGGCTTAATCCGTGACA